ATAACCAGGAATCACCGTATCCCACTGATTTTCCTCATCCCACCAAGTTTCTGAAATACCCACAATGTCTATTTTTCCCTCCAACACCAAGCACTCCAACTCCCCGATTTTACCTCGGAGACTTCTAGCATTTGTGTAGAAACAGCTGTAATTTCCCATACAAGTTAAGCCTGCAACCTTCCTCTTGCTATCTCGAGACCTTGTCAGGCAGTTCATGTCACTAGCCATGTTCTCAGTGGACACCTCCCTGTAGAAAAGCAACAGGTACCCCCTCATCTCTCTGAGATGAGCCAACCCGAACCAGAGACTTTTCATCTCCTGTCGGCTTTCCCCCAAAGAAGAAAAAGAGGAGATTGGATTTATACCCAGAAACTGCTCTTTTTCAAAAACAGCTGTGCCAGAACTGTGGCTTACCTAAGGTCATCCAGCAGGTGCAAGTGGAGGAGTGGGGAATCAAACCCAGTTGTCCCAGATTAGAGTCCGCACACTTAACCACTACACCAAACTGGCAGCAGCTTAACAGGGGAGAAGAGAGTTACAATGGACCCATGTAGGAGTTACATTGCATCCCGCTCTCTGTGCATGCAAGTTGCAGTTGTGGTCAACATTTGTTCTCAGAAACCAGACTGGAAAGAAAATCAATAACAGGAAGATCAGCTTTTAAATCATAATAGCAAAGAGCGTAGATTAATTTCTCTCTAATCAAGTTAGCTCCCATCTTGTTACTAATCTATTAACACAGAGCAGTTTGCCATTTATTGCTGGAGGACAATCTGTTGTCTTGTACTTGTTGTTTTCCAGAGAAGGGAAGGAACCTCAGATATTTATTCTTGTGTTAGAAGATAATAAAGTCATCCCTTTGACAAAGTCAAAAAGGAAAACCAAAGGGCTGCAGTCTGGCCAAAAGTGAGAACAGGGGAAGGAAAACAGAAACCTAGGGTGCAAAACAGAACATCAACCATTTTTTAAAAAAATCTGTCACACTCTTCCTTAGGGTAATGAACAATACTTGTAGAATACAATAAAGGACTACTTATATTTGCATTGACAGCATTAATGAACTCTTCTTAGTATATTTTCATTTCAGGTGTTCTTGTGATTTTACATTTCTTTTCACAAATGACCTGGTCTGCTGAGAAGACTTTTCACTACTACTACTACTAGTACTATTATTGTCTGATGCAATAATTGTTTTCTGAAAAGGAGTGACTGCTCAAATCAAGTTAGATGACATGTTAATTTTTTATTTTTTTTTTAAATAATAATCTTGGTGTACATTTTTTTCCCCACCCTTAGAGTTTCTTTCTATTCTCTTCCTTGTTCTTCATCAAATCAAAAGAACAAGATAGGTCCCAATCTGTCGCATATGACCAGTGAACTCTGGATGGGGAGACATATCTCCAGCCTCAAGAAAGAGCATTCATTACATTCAGTGGGACTAAGAAGAAAATTACTGTGTAGATGTGCACCCACATTAATGTTCCTTGTGGGGTTGCCTGTGTTCCTCAGCTCACTTACTTGGAGGTGAGCTGTCATGACTGACTAAATTTGTTGTTCACATAAGAAAGGGTTCTGCTGTAGTACCCTTTTATCAGCTTCCAAGAAACCACATGTTGAACCCAGCTGGTAAGCTCCACAGTGTTCAATGGAGTTTAGTGCCAGATAGGATTATCCTTGACTGTGGAATAATCGCCTGGGCTACAGGCCAGAGGTCCATTGTCCTTCTGTGGAACCAGCATTGTTTTTCCAAATTGCTTCATATTGACATTCCCTTTCCCAGTTTACAGATATGGAACACTCCCTGAATTTGCAGTGAAGAACATTCTATGTGATCCATGCTACCACTGGCACAGTGGGTTTTGAACCTGGAGCTTTAACTTTATTTAAATAAGGGGATTTAAAAAAAGAAGAAGCTCATTTTAGCACTTTTTGAGTATTCACAAGTTAGGTGGAGCATGTATGTTGGAACAGGTTTCCAGTCATGTGGAGAGAGCTGTGCCAGTACATGTCTTTATAGTAGTAAACATTTGCTGGGTATGGCCAGAGGCCATACAAAGTTGGTCTAAATAAAATATAGGTAAAACATAGAAGAAAAAGAATTATCAAAATAAGATGCTACACAATAAAAACAGATTACAGAACTACAGATTTTAAGTTTCAAACACCACTCGCACAGATTTTCTTGACAGCCAGAGTGTATAGGGCTGCCTTGTATGTAATGTATGGGTCTACACCTATAAGAAGGAATATTATTTTCTCCTCAGCTGTGCATGCAGTCAGATGCATGCAGTCAGTTGCCAGAAATGTGTATCTGGGTTCCCAATATAGTGGATAGCACAGCATGTAGTGAGGAAGATCCTCAACCTCTACAGATACACTAAGCAGCCTGCTTGCATGAATAGCGTGTCCTTTTTACATGGTAGAGTGTATGTTTTGAGAGTGAATGGCTGTAAAAGTCGATCTTAGGTTGTAAAACACGATGTTAGACAAGTAATGGGCTCTGTTGTGATCCACTTTGAGCCATTTGTACCAGGGAGAGCATTTGAACCCTATTATTGTATACGTATCCATCAAGGCATCAAAGGTGTATATCCATTCATGAAGTATGGCGCTAACCTGGGGAACCCCCTGGGAATCGACCAGGAAAATAATATCACTTAAGAATACTATTATATTTAGGGACCCAGCTCCTATCATTCTGGATAAGGGTGAAATATTGCCTTAAGAGATGGGAAGCTAAGACCAAAAAATTTATTAAAGCAACGTGTACCCAAGCCCTTACTGAAGGAAGGCCAAGTCTGCTTTGCACCAAGGCAGCTGGAGTGCCCTTAGGCAGAGCTAGGATTTTTTAAAAAAGATTTTGAGCAGTTTCCAGGTTTTTGATGAGTACATCATTCCAGCCCCAAATTTCTACTCCATATAGAAATTGCGCTATGGTCTTGCTCTGATACAATTTCAGGGCAGAATCGATCAAAAAGCCTCCTTTGGTGTGAATCTCAGGAGCTCATTAGCATAACTCATTAGCATAACATATTTGCATATGCCACACCCCCTGACATCACTGGAAGTGTGTCAGAAGGCAACACCCACCGCTCAGGCTCCACTGGACTGTTTTGGATTGCTAGTTATTGGGGGAGGGGACATGGAGATCTGTCCTCGCAGAGGAGGGAGAGCTTGCACCTGAATAAAACTTGGGTCTTAAAGGTGCCACTGGACTGTTTTGGACCGGGGGGGGGGCTCTGCAACTTACCTGGCTGCTTCTTGCTCTGACTGAGGGCTGCTGGGAGCAAGGGGTGGGGCTTGTTGCATGTGCCCACCCCCTGGGCTCTTTACTGCTGGAGCTCCGCTCCTGTGCGCTCCTGCAGGAAATGACCCCTGGCGTGTGACAGAATTTTAGAATGGTCCCCAGTGTCTGGAGAACTGTGGGTTTTATGATTTCCAGCTGGGCCTTCCAGGAGAGTGTTTCATGTCTATATATACATTGATTCAGTCTATATTCCAATGAATGCTCTTTGGAGGTGACGCTGGGATCCTGCTTCTCTCTCCTGTTCATTCTGTGCACTTCGAATATTGCCTTAGGTCCTGTTAGGAGAAAGGTGGGGTAGCATCTTTTTAAATAAATCATCATGAAAAGGACTATAAAGTGAAAGCATATTAGCGGATTAAAAGATGAATGACTGTAAATGGCCATTTTTTTTTAAAAAAAAAATGACTTTATGTTGATAATGATTAAAAGCCAGTGTTTTATTCAAAATCTGCAACTTATTTCAACATGGCATTCTATTTGAATCAATCATCCTATACAGTCAGTGCTATTTTAAAACCCCCTGTGTCATCTGATAATAACCTTACCTGGTATTCTGATTTTAAAATATGGATGTGGTAACACAGTGTTCTGTTCAGTTCAGTGACTCCAACCACTTACGAGGAATGCTTGGGAACTTGCACCTGGTGGTAATTATTCATTTGGGGAAGAATTTTGAAGTTGATTGGTAATTATTCACCTTGGGGAAGAATTTTGAAAAGAATCCAGATTAGAGTCCTGAAGGAAATAAAAGTGAGACACAATTCAGTCCCAAATGCCTCAGCACTGAAACTGGCAAGAGTTCACACACATTCGTACACTCTAATATTTTGAATTCTATTCCAGTCGTCTCCCCACCCCACCAGCACTATCTAATAATGTCTACCATCCTTTGTGAGTTTATATTTTATTCAAGGGAGCAATCCTAAGCAGGTCTACTCAGAAGTAAGTTCTATTTTATTCCATTTTTATTATTGTACTATTAAAATATTTATACCCTGCATTTCCTCTTGGCTCAAGGTTGCTTATTAAAAAGTTATAAATTAAATCCAAATAAAATGAAACCCCAAATACCTCTCCCCTCCCACACACAAATCAAGCTTACTCCCAGGAAAGTGTTCTCTTCTTTGCACCCTAAGCAGCTTAACTGGGCTGAAGTTCTAGATCCATTATTTTCAGTAATGTTAGAAGAATTTTAGAATTCCTCATAGTGGGGAATGGTAAATGCATTCAATTAAGAAAATATTGTATTTTCCCCAAATATGGCATATAAAATAAGACTTTAATAAAACATGATCAACCAGAAGGTGTATACTTCAGGATCCATTTGATTCTGTTAACAATCTCTAGAACCCTGCATAGATCAACAGTATCCAAATCAGCTATTTGACTTGCTTGTGTACATGTAAGCGTAATGTCTAAGTACAAATTACCTCCCAACTTCTCCCCAGGAAGCCTTATATAGAAAATAAATTGTTGTGCTTGTGTTTTCTCCAACAGGATAATTGAAGCTGTCTGCATAGGCTGGTTCACTGCAGAGTGCATTGTGAGGTTCATCATCTCCAAAGACAAGTGCGAATTTGTGAAGAGACCTCTGAACATCATTGACTTGCTGGCAATAACTCCCTACTACATCTCTGTGCTGATGACAGTTTTTACCGGGGAGAATTCTCAGCTCCAGAGGGCAGGAGTCACCTTGAGGGTCCTGAGAATGATGAGGATTTTTTGGGTGATTAAACTTGCTCGTCACTTCATTGGCCTTCAGACACTTGGCCTGACTTTAAAACGATGCTATAGGGAGATGGTGATGCTGCTTGTCTTCGTCTGTGTTGCTATGGCAATTTTCAGTGCACTGTCCCAGCTCCTTGAACACGGGCTGAACTTGGGAAAACCAAATGAAGGCTATTCCAGCATCCCAGCTGCTTGCTGGTGGGTAATTATCTCTATGACCACTGTGGGTTATGGCGATGTATGCCCCATCACTATACCTGGACGGATTCTTGGAGGGATTTGTGTGGTCAGTGGGATTGTTTTACTGGCCCTGCCTATTACTTTCATCTATCACAGCTTTGTGCAATGTTACCATGAGCTCAAATTCAGGTCTGCTAGGTATGGCAGGAGCCTCTCTGCTGAATTCTTAAATTAAGTAGCACAATCCCATTGCATAATAGTACTTCTGTGTTGTACATCCCAGCAGACACTATTGAAAGGCCAATTCTTGTTCCTTCCTTCCTTGACAACAGATGAACAGAGAGACTTGTGCCCTTGGAGGAAGACATATTCCTTCTCCAACTGAAGAATGGCTGCTTGATCTTTGGGAAGAGGTTTTAAGCAGCCATGCAAAATCTTTGGTCCAGACTAACTGAGATTCACAAGGATGAAAACACAGGTTTCATTTCCTTTGTGTTAACAAACATGAGAGTATCCACCAATTTGGGCATTGCAGGTGCTCTGTGCTATTAGGGTCAAGCATCTGCACTTGAAACAAATCAGTCCCTGTTTTCAAAGCTGTTTTTAAAAATGAAATGTCCATTTTAACTTGAGATTTCAGGAACACAGTGTACACACAGTCCAAAGAGCCAGGATATTAACTCTGTGTACTTAGGGGTAGTGTGGTTTCATTTATCTGTTTGTTTTTTCAACAATTAACATGTGGCTTCACACTGCAAACCAGTCTTGACACTTGGTAAAATTTCAGAAGCAGTGATCATCAGTGGGGAAGGCTACAGCTCTGGGGGAGAATCAACACACACACACACACACCGAGCCATGAGTAGCTCTTTGAGCAGGCTCTAAGAAGCTCACTGGGTTATAGTCCTTGCACAACCAGACATTTAATGTGGACTTTTAAGGCAAGATGGTAAGTCATCTTTTCCTTCCCACTAGTGCCTCTGTTTGCAAAGCCTGAAAATCCAGTGTTGGTGCAGAAACAACAATGCAATGACGAAACAAGTGTACAGAGCACAAGAAATGATTGGTTATATTATACCACTTTTTGCTCTCCCCTTAAAATTGTATCTATTTAGTAGAATATTTTATTCCACCTTTCCTTTCACAGTGTGACTTATGTAATGCAACCACTGAGAAAAATTATTGATATTGCTGAAGTCAATAATAAAACATTAAAATAGAATAAATAGCATAAAACTGTAAGTACAGACCACCACATAATAAATTAATGTAAGTATTTAAAGGATCTCAATCTCCTCATGAAAATCTCCTTTAAAAGCCATCCTGAATAATACAGAGTTAGCAAGGTTCCAAAAAACTATTAGGGTAGGAACCTTCCTGACATTCTTAGCTAAGTAGTACTAAGTAACAAGGCCCACCGCTGACGGAGCAAGTGACCAGGCAGCAGTAGTTTGAATCATCCTCACAGAGGATCTAAACAAGAGAGTTGCCATACAGATACAGGAAGAGGGAAATGTCTTTCAAGTATGTGAATCCCAGGCTATGAAGAGGTTTAAAGAACCAATACCTTGAACTTAACCCAGAAACAGAGGCAGCCAATGCAGACATTTCAAAATAGCTGTAAAATGACTATAGCAGTGAACTTGGACCTGTTGTAGTTTCTAGATCTTTAGGGTCAACCCTACGTCAGCATTTTGGAAGCACAGATTAGCATAGTTTGCCTAGCAATAAAAGCCAGTGTTCTGTAGCAGCTACAGAGGTCCCTGCCACACGGGCGGGAAAAGTCGGGCAAAAGTGCGGCTTTTAAAAGCCGTACCAAAATAGGCACGTGGCGGGATCATACAGATCCCGTGAGCCGTGGCGCAATTGCTCCCCAGCACGATCAGATGCCGGGGAGACAGCGACGGGAGGCTGCCGAACTGCGCATGTCTGAGCATGCGCAGTTCGGCCAGGAGCCAGGGATGCGCCGGCGAAAGGACGCGCTGGCGATCCCACGGCCGGCCTTGATGCAGCCTTGCCAGAAGAACCACCTCGGTAGATGGTTTATTAATGCTGTGTGTTTTGGGCAGAAGGGCCGGATCGGGGACGGGTGCGCAACGCTTCCCAGATGTTGTGGTGGGATCGCGCCCGTTTGCTGCCCCCTGATCCGTCCCTCTCCCGGCCCAAAACCTCTCGTGTGACCGGGGCCAGAGTAAGTCTAAGATCTGGGAGACCCAGGTTCAAAATCCCACTCTGCCATGGAAGCTTGCTGGGTGACTTTGGGCCAGTCACACACTTTAAGCTACCTCAAAGGGTTGTTGTGAAGATAAGATGAAGAAGAGGGGAATAATGTAGGCTGTTTAGGATCCTCACTGGAAAGAATGGTGGGGTATTGAATAAATAAATAAAAGATGCTTTGTTTTCTCCATTAGCCAAGTGTAATGCTGAGTAATGCCCTTCTCTTAATACCAGATCTCCTTACAGCAGTGATTTTCAAACACTGTTTTGGAGAATCCTCAGAAGCTTATAAGTGTTTCCTAAGTGACAAGATCAGTAATCACTGTTTTGGAGAATCCTCAGAAGCTTATGTTTCCTAAGTGACAAGATCAGTAACAGAAGACCAGCAAAGGCTGCCGCTATCGACTTTAGCTCATAATATGCAGCCACGGGGCATTTTTGGTGTATTCTCAGTTCCTATGGAAGGAATATGAAGCCAAACAGGATGTGTACCCTGTAATACTCCCCAAGAGACTCTGCAACAGCACAAGCATTTCTTGGCAGATGTGTACACCTAGAAAGTGTTTTCTGAAAACTGAAAGTCTGAATAACTGGTTTAAGTAATCCTCATCATCTATTTGCATGTAAAAAGGGACTAGAACTGGTTGAGGGATGTTCTGAGCCTCTGCCCTCTTATCCCAGAGGATTTAACAGCGCTGGAGCAGAACCATTGCTACACGTCTTACCCTTCCATCCATGTCCCTCGGGACATACAGTTGTGGAAATAATCTGTTAAAGCCAAGTAACTCTGCATTAGCAAAAGTGGGGTCAGCAGAGTTACCAGATTCACAATTTGCAAAAGAGATGAGAATTTGCACTTGTTACTGTTGTGCCATATGTTTTCTGTAGCACAAACATTTTGGCATTTTTGGAGACTGGCATTCCAGCCATAAACACTTTGGAAATGTCCTGCTGATGCCATGGAAATGCATTCCAAATAAACATGACTAGGATCAGAGACAACGATAAGTTATGGAAGAAAGGTACTATTAAATTTTACAAAGAGCAGAGAAAAACGCTGCCGCTGACAATGTGATTGATATTTTTAGTGGTGATTTGCTATGTGAGTAATAGAGGAGAATGAGTTATGTTGCCAACTAAGTTCCATCAGTATGAAGGCATTTATTCAAAAGCCTGGATTTACCCTTCTCCCAGTTTATTAATTATTCTGCTGCATTAGCCAGAGTAGTGTAACGGATAAAGCCTGAAATGTGGGTATCTCAGGCCAAGCTTTCTGACAAGATAGGTTATTCAGGGAGGATAAAATGGGATAACTCTGCCCAGAGTTCTTTAGAGGAGAAGCAGGATACAAGTGTGATAAGCAGATCTCCATGGGAAGCCATCTGAGTTTCATACCTGAGCTATGGAATATATTTTTCTAATTAAAAGCTTGAAGGAAGACAAGGCAATAAGAAATTTGCAAGTATAGAAGTTCTTCTGGACAAATACCTGGAAGAACCTCCCCAAATCCTTTGGGTTCTGATTGTTTGGCAGAAACTGGCCACATGTGGAAATCTGCTGTCATGGGCACAAAAAGCTTGCATTCTTCTTAAACAAACAAACAAACAAACCTGTGACTCTTTGGATTGTGTTGAACCTTAATGTCAGCTATGATTAATGAAAACAGCAGATTTGCAGACTTTGTTTATATATCATAACAAAATGGGATTTATTATGTCTCTGTTTGAATTATCCTTGTTGGAGGAAGCCATTGTAAACTGATATATTTTTATGGTTGGACAAATTAAAAAATAAAGTAGCACTCCACTGATATAGAAAACGAGCTCTCTAGCTGAATGTAAGTTGTCTTATGTAAAAAAGTAGTATGTACTATCTTGTAAATAACAGAACCACAATAAAAGAATTTGTGTTCTTATGTAGTTCAACTTAATGGCGGCATTGTTAATATGACTTGAAAAGCTGCCATATAGCCCTGTGCTGTTAAACACTAAATGTAGCTGCAGTTAAGCCAGTAAATTTTTTGCTGAAAGACATGAACATGCCACATTTTTTCTGTTTCAGATGGAACCTTCGATATATTCTACTTTGATGTGTTTAACTTAAAAAAACAATCCTGGTGAAATGTTTACCGTGAATGTGTTTTGAAGTGTCTCTTGTTTGAATGCATTTCCATTTTAACAGCTTTAGAAATGTGAAAGAAAACTTCTATCACCTAGATTTTTAAAAAAATTACATAAGTCTCTGTCACTCAAGCCCCATTTTCCTTCACCTCCAGCACACTTCTAGTGTGATTTTCAATGATGTCACAGCCAGGCATCCTACCCCATATCATTAACTCCAGGAAAAGCTCTCTGTGTAGATGGCACTGGTAGTTACTTTCCTGGGTATGAGAGTAGGAAGTGAGGTGATATATTTTGATGAGTCACCAAGGACTATGGAAAAGTTTCATGTATGAAGGACTGAGTATCCCAAAAGTAGATAAGATCAGACATAACTGGACTCTGTGAGTGTGAACCACTTCCAAGAAGAAGAAAAATCTGACTCAATGCTGGTTTAATAGCTGCCAAGTTTACTAAGATTGTCATATGTTCTTATTCCTCAGAACAAATTTGCTTACAGCTTTGTTTGCTGTTGTAGCTGATTTTGTTAAAGGTTAAAAAGTATACTCTTAACATTTACAGACATATTTTTGTAACCCATTAAATGCAGAGTCTTGCTCAGAATCGCTTTATAGGGGCCTATTCAGCTCTTAAGGATTTAGTAACAAAGCTCACTTAGGTTGATCCTAATAAAAAGCACTATGTGGCTTGTGGCTTGTTTAATGTCAGCCGGTGCCATGATTGCAACATGCATCCATCCAATTCTTTGTAGAGTGATAGTCACATGTCAATAAGAAATGCAACAGATGTAGCTTTCCCATCATTGGCTCTATGAAGGGGGGGGAAGGATTCATACCTGTGCAGTTTCTTATTGGACATGTGTTTGAAGAAACAGAAAGTTCTTCTAAGAAAGGAGTTA